TCAAAATATGTTAGCGTGTAAAAATACGCACAAAGAGTTTAGCAGTACTATTTACACACACACACACACACACACACACACACACACACACACACACACACACACACACACACACACACACACACTTTTGGAGGATGTGTAATAGAGCTCATCTCTTTAATTTTGTGCTGGATGTTTAAAGTGCTAGTGACTTCTATGATGTTTTGTAGCATAAAGATTTATCTGGATCACTCAACATAAAGTTTTGTTTTCTGACCTCACAGAGATTACACTAAGATTTGATTTCTTGACTTTTGCTTGTTTGCACTGTGCCCCTGGATCTTAGGAATCAATGTGTGGTTGTTACACACCTCAGGTATAATTTGAAATGTAGGTTTGTCAAAAGAAAAAGGTTCAGTCATACATTTTCTAGTGAAAATTGTGTTTTACTCGTGTGAGTAAACTGCTTGGCTACAGTTCTAATACCAGTTGCTGGTTATCAGTCTGTTTTAAAGAATACAATAAAGTAAAAGTTTTATTTAAAGAAAATAGACAACTTTCCTTGCTTTTTGTGGCAAACAAATGTATAAATGTCTGAACATTTAAAATCTCTTAGTTTGAAGTAAAATATGTAAATCTGTTGTTGTTTTGCAACACACACACACACACACACACACACACACACACACACACACACACATACACTATGGGTTGGGGTAAAAACTAAAACATTTTCTTTAAAAAATACTAAAATAACAAAAGTAACGACCAAACTGATATACACTAAAAATGTTTTTTGTGTGCGAGCCCAGAGAATCACCAGAAAGCTTTTGATGAAGTGTCATTCTTTAAACATCCAGCCTAAGCAACTGTCGTAAAACCATTAACAAAGCCATTTAGGTTGCACTCTTCCCCCGCCAGTTCCACTTGTAAACACCTTAACTGTGATTTTAGAAAAATGTTTTGATTCTTTGTCTTAGGTAACATAAACCTATAGTTCAGGTACTACATCCTACTGTGGCACACACACACACACACACACACACACACACACACACACACACACACACACACACACACACACACACACACACACGTAGGGCTAATGGTATTCCTGAATGCCTTGACTCAAATGTTTTGACTCAATTAACATATAGGCTACCCTACAACAAAGGTTTTCAACACTCAGGGTGCCACCATTACGTGATACCTGCTTGGGTGAATTTCACCCCCAACAATCAAAGGAAAATACAATCAGCAACAGTTTCCCCCCAGCTGACTGGAAGGAGCCCAGATTTTTGTTGACACATGGAGTCTCTGTCAATCATGAGTGACAAGGGGTGCCTAAATCTACCAAAAGATGGTCATAAAATCAAACAAAAGGTTTTTGTCTTTTAAAAGTTTCCCGGATCTCACCAAAGGAGGATGTCACACGGCTCCAAACTTCCTAGACATACAGGAGCCTGTCAGCTACCACCGTAAATCAGAAACACTGTTTTCTTGATACAAGAACACTACGACAGTACATAGGGCCATAAATCAAGTCATAAAACACCTTTTTTGACACATGGTTTATGTTAATACTACTCACAAATCATGTCTAGATCAGTAACACTTGAGTCATTACTAGTTCAGACTGATCTCATGAAATGACGTATGTATGACACACCAATTCGTATTTCCATTTTTGGCGTGCTATCAACACCAAGGGGGTAATCCACCAGCCGGAAACTGAAGTCTCCCCGGGCGCCGCCATTGGCTAACAAGCCTTTACCTGCTGTTAGCATCCCATTGACTCCCATTCATTTTTGCGTCACTTTGACAGCGAATAACTTTACATCTGAGACGTTTAAAGACTCCATTTGTCCATTATTTATTTCTAAAGAAACACGACAATGTATAAAATGCTCCATTACCTTGTATCTTACGTTGTGGCCACGTAGAAGCAGTTTTAGTAAAAATAGGCTAACGATTGCGTCATAACACGCGACTCTCTGTCGCATAGAAGAGAAATGACCGTAAAGACAGATGTAGAAGCTCACAGGCAATCGGGGGGACGTGGAGGCATAAAGTCAAGGGAGAAGCCCATAGAGAGTCATAAAGTTGCTCCTGCTGCGAGCTCATGAACAGCTAATACTCACGATCTCCGGCTCTGCAAGATTCAGAAGGGAATGATTCAGATTCCTCTTGGCACCACTACTAGAAGACGTACAACTGTCAGTCAGGTTGCTCACGTCACAACTACGTCTTCAAGCTCAGTTTGAGCATGCGCAGTGCGCTTGGCAATCAGGAAGTGAGTGCTTCTATTTGACTTCACTTTTCTCCGTTGAAGTCTATGGGGTCGCTGTGTCCATTTCTTTTACTGTCTATGATCAACACGCATAATCGCGTTTCAGCGTGTTTATCAACGCCGTTGACTTAACGTTATATTACTGTATATATAAATATATGACCTACCCCAACCCCGTCCCTAAACCTACCCGTCACTGGGGTTAATACCATTTATGAGATCTACCATCCTAGGAAAAAAATATCGCTCCCCAGATGTAGATCTACATTTTGCTTCGTTTCGCTCGGACATTTTAACGGCGTGTACACACACGCGGAATCACTCGGACGTTTAACGGCGTAGACATACACGCAAAAGATGTCACGATTCGTTTCGGCGTGGACATACACGCGGATCGCCACTTGACTTGAAAGTGGCGTGTATGTTTACGCAAAGTCATGATGTCATGTTGCAGGCATGTTGACTAGTTAGTTCCCATGATCTTCACTTTAGAATATGGATCCAAATAATTAGTAATTCCCATAGAAGTATGTAGTAACACTTGAGCCATTACTAGTTTGTTACCATGATTCTTACAGTAGTTAGGCTACTAATGAAAAGCCAATAAAGTGTAGAATCTTCTAATCACTCACAAGATATGCACACACACACACACACACACACACACACACTAGGAGACGTACATAAAAACATATTTTTTGGGGAGGTAGGTTAAATAATAAAATAAATGTATATGGTATTTGGGTGGCTGAAGACTCAGTATGTTCCAGTACTCACCATGACTCCAGTGATTCAATGCCAGTCCAGAGGAATGCCGGAAAATTGGCCACAGGACAAGTAAGGTCCCGACAACTGCATTTAAAAATCCACTTCTTTAAAATTATTCAGATGATAAATAGACAGCATAGGCCAATTATTAACAGCTTTCCCAAATCATAAGTCTGCTATGCTATTACATATTGATAATGTAAACAACCTTGTGTATTCGTTTACAGTAGCAGTTAAAATGTTAATGTAGTGCTAGTCATTTGTCCTGCATTGGTTATTGATTAGTTTTGCATGAATCACGAAAATTTGCAGTAGTTCTCTGGGAAGCATTAAAAAAATAGTAGTTATTGATTAGTTAATAGTGAAGTACCACTTTCATCTGTGCGCTATTACTTATTAGTTCGTTAATCAGAGTTTCTTTTTAGTTAATAGTAGTTACTAGATTGTTAATAAACTTTTTCAGTAGTTCTCTGGGAAGCATAGATAAATGAACTAAATTAATAACTAATGATTTTTACAATGGAAATTAACCATCACTGAACTGGATGGAGTAAGAGTAGAATTATGTCATTCTTAGAATTTTGACTATGTTCAATAAAAATAATGAAAGTTTTCTGAACTATTATTCTTGTTCCACCTGTATGAGATGACCATGCACTGCTTGAGCGATGACACTGACACGAGTATTTTCACATTGTTGCTTTACTGTTCAGTTCATCTTGTATACAGTAACACTCAGTGTTTACTGCGCATGTGCAACACAACAGAGGATCAATACGGGTGTCGGAAGAACAACACATGCAACACTTACAATGCAATTCACAACCATTTAAACCGGTTCCCCTTGTCAAACAATCAAACTTCAATACTAATTTTAGATTAAATTACTGTATTAAATGTAATTCCATCTTTTGCTTATTTACGAGTTATAGAAGTGAACTTTGCTCACTTAGACATCTTCGGGCAATGCTTTTTCTTATGATTAAGTAGAGTAGATGAATGGCTGAAACTCTTCTCACATGAAGAGCACTGGTGCGGTTTCTCTCCAGTATGAACTCTCTCATGATCTTTCAGGTGTCCTGACCGAGAGAAACTCTTTCCACAGTGTGAGCACTTGTACGGTTTCTCTCCAGTATGAACTCTCTGGTGTGATTCTAAGTTGCTGGATCTAGTAAAGGTCTTCCCACAGTCAAAGCACACATAAGGTTTTACACCAGTATGAATACGCTCATGCACTTTTAAATGTTCCAGTTGTGAAAAACTCTTTCCACAAAAAGAACAAAAGTGAGGCTTCACAGCAGCATGAACTTTAATGTGTTTTCTTAAGCTTGATTCAGAAACAAATGTTTTATCACACTGATCACAGCTAAATGATCTCAATCCAGAGTGACGGCGCAGATGATCTTTGAGAACGCTTTTGTACCTGAAACTCTTTCCACACTGAGTGCATGTATAAGGCCTTTCTCCAGTGTGAATTCTCATGTGATCATTTAGGTGTCCTTTGTGAATGAAACTCTTTCCACACTGAGTGCATGTAAAAGGCCTTTCTCCAGTGTGAATCATCATGTGTGAGTCCAGCTTTGATTTACATACAAAACTCTTTCCACACTCAGAGCAGGTTAAAGATCCTTCAACTCCAGATTTTCCAGCTTGTTTCTGTGGGAAATTCTCTTCAGTCTTTGAAACGACTGCATTTCCATCTTCATTTGTGAAAAAATGAGGTTTTTGAAACTGATGCTGTTTGTCTTAAATAAACAAATTCAAAATAAACAAATTAAATTCCCATAATTCAATAAAAGGATAAATGAGAAACAAAAATAAATATTGTTCAAAATCTCAATTTAGCACAAATCCAGTTTCTACTGCATCTACTAGTATCTAGTTTTATATGTTATTTTTAGATGTCAGTTTTCATCTTAATGTTCCTCATCAGTCATTAAAGAGAATGAAGGAAAACACCAACCTATTTGTTCCTCTGTATCTTCATCTTTTATTCTGCAGGGTTCTTCCTTAATCTCCATCTTTACAATAGTATGTCCGTCGTTTCTCCTGGAGTAATTCCTCCTGCTTGCTTCTTCTTCTCCTGTGGGAAGATGGGAATATTCCACAGCATTTAAACTCTCATGAACGGCTGTGGGAGCTTCACTGACTGAAGGAGTGAATTGTGGTCGTTGTTGCTCATTTAGCAGATGATCATCAGACTTACAATCACTCGAGATTATCCAGGTGCAAATCGTTGTTTAGAAACAATTCAATGATTATTAAATTGATACTTTGGCCTTCATATCAAGCCCAGAGTAAATTCAGTGATCATGGAATTTGACTGTTAAGTGGTGATGCACAATTATTGTCATTCATTGCATCTTGCATTGAGTGTAGAATTTATGTTACAAAGAAAAAACAAACTTGTGCGAATTGAGTGACTTAAGTAATTAACACATTTCCTTGAGTAGCCATGTAATCAATATAAGGTAAACCCACATTTTAAGTCTGAAGCCCCTTTCACACTACACGCGACTTTGTCGCTGCAAGTCGCCAGTCGCTGGCGATGAGGTCGCTAGTGGGCGTTCCCACTACTGGTTGACTAGTATGACATCCAAAAGACAGCGTCACTGCAGGCCCAGGGGCTGAGGAGAAGGATCACGTGCGCTCCACTCCTATTGGTTGTCGCTCGCGAAAATCGCTCTTCATTTGCATAAAGTTAAACATTTCTCAACTTTGTCGCGTCGCCAGACACGCCCCATCTAGTCACCAACGGTCGCTGTCGCGCGTGTCGCCGGAAGTCGGGGCTTGAGCCTGTGTGTGGGGATGTGTATGCGTGTGTATGTGCGTCTCTCTCGTCTTTTCTATCCCTCTCTCTCTCTCTTTCTCTCTCTCTCTCAGGTGCAGCTCTGCCTTCATTGAACGTGTTCCCAGAGGATTGGTGGACGAGAGAAAAGCATCCTTTCAAATACGGCGTGGATGCTGATGTGGAAGAGAGATGCTGTTGGCGTTTTGTATTGAGAGTGTGTTATAGTAGTTTTCTTATGATTCCCCAGACAGCAAAATGGTGTCGGCCCAGATCCGGTTCACATCTGGGCCGTGTGAACTCCACCTGTAACACATCTGGGCCGTGTGGGCTCCGGGTGTACCACATCTGGGCCGTGTGGGCTCCGGGTGTACCACATCTGGGCCGTGTGGGCTCCGGGTGTACCACATCTGGGCCGTGTGAGCTCCTGGTGTACCACATCTGGGCCGCGTGGGCTCCGGGTGTACCACATCTGGGCTGTGTGGGCTCCAGGTGTACCACATCTGGGCCGTGTGGACTCCAGGTGTACCACATCTGGGCCATGTTGACTCCACCTGTACCACATCTGGGCCGACATTATGTTGCTGTCTGGGTCTTGATCTGTAAACTGTATATTCTTTTGTAAAGTTCCTCATTTTGACTTTGTCCCCCATGTTCCATGGATTGTATTTTTAATTTCGGCTTTTTATTCGCAATGTTGTAAATATAACAAACCATAAGCGCATCATTGACTAGTTAACTGACAAAGTGTAAAGATTTTGAGTTGTGTTTTGTAATTAATAAATGAAACCTGGTGTAAACACAAATTGTAGCACAACATTTTACATTATTTTTCTAACTGTGCTGCTAAAAATGTAAGCTACATTCTTTAGTGATTCATTCCACCAGCATGGATCCGTGAATGAGAATGTTCTGGAGAATGATTTTGTGGCTCTCAGTGATGGTACCACGAGCCGTCACTCATTGACCGATCGCAGGCTTCTGGTAGGGATGTAGACTTGTAGTAGTGAGTGAAAGTAGGAGGGAGCTGAGCCTGTGGTAGATCTGTAAGCAAGCGTCAACGCCTTGAACTTGAACCCTTTTGGGCTCCTTGAAGACAAGATGAGCTGCAGTATTCTGGATCATTTGTAGAGGTTTAGTTGCACATGATGGAAGTCCAGCCAGAAGAGGATTGCAGTAATCAAGCCTAGAAATGACCAGGGCCTGGACGAGAAGTTGTGTTGCACGCTTAGTTAGGAAAGGCCTGATCTTCCTGATGTTGTGTAGTGCAAACCTGCATGATCAAGCTGTCTTTGTAATGTGGTCTGTGAAGGTCAGCTGATCATCAAAGATTACTCCAAGATTTCTGACCGAGCTTGATGGGGTGATTGAGGAAGAATCTAGCTGGATAGTGAAGTCGTGCTGTAGAGACGGATTGGCAGGGAGGACGAGAAGCTCAGTCTTTGCCAGGTTGAGCTGCAGGTGATGTTCCTTCATCCATGCCGAGATGTCCGCCAGACAGCTTGAGATCTGTGCAGCTACTGTGGGATCATCTGGTTGAAATGAGAGGTAGAGCTGGGTGTCATCAGCATAGCAATGGTAAGAGAAACCATGTGCCTGTATGATGGGTCCCAGTGATGTGGTGTAAATGGAGAAGAGGAGCGGTCCAAGAACTGAACCCTGGGGAACCCCTGTGGTCAGTTGATGTGCTTTGGATACCTCGCCTCTCCATGTGACCCTGAAGGACCTACCTGTGAAATAGGACTCAAACCAGTGGAGGGACGTTCCAGTGATGAGAGGGTGGATAGAAGGATCTGATTGTTCACAGTTTCGAAAGCAGGAGAATGAGAACTGATGATTTGGAAGCAGCTTTTGCGATCCGCAGGACTTCTGTGACCGACAGCAATGCAGTCTCGGTTGAATGCCCTTTCTTGAAGCCAGATTGGTTGACATCCAGCTGGTTGTTCAGAGACAGGAAAGATGATACTTGGTTGAAAGCAACTCGTTCAAGTGTTTTCGCAATGAATGGAAGGAGAGAGACAGGTCTGTAATTCTCTAAAAGCGACGTGTTTAACATTGTTTTTTTAAGCAGTTGAATTACCCGAGCCTTCTTAAATGCTGTAGGGAAAATGCCAGTGTGGTGGGATGAGTTGATAATGTGTGTGAGAGCTGGTAGAAGTGTGGGAGAGATGGCTTGTAGAAGGTGTGAGGGGATAGGATCTAGAGGGCAGGTGGTTGGATGACTGGAGAGAAGTTTAGATACTTCTTCCTCGGTTAGTGGAGTGAAGGAGGAGAGAAGGTTGTTGGCTGTGGGAGAGGTTAGTCTGGGTTCCTGTGTGTGTGAAGCTGAGAACTGACTGCTGATAGTTGTAGTTTTGTTAGTGAAGAAGTTAGCAAACTCATCAGCAGTTAGCGAGGAGGTGGGTGGTGGTGGAGGTGGACAGAGGAGAGAGTTGAATGTCTTTAACAGTGAACGTGTGTTAGAGGCGCTGTTGATCTTGTTGTGGAAATGTAATGGTTTTGCGGCGTGAACATCAACAGAAAAGGCAGAGAGCAGAAATTGATACCTACTGAGGTCAGATGTGTCTTTTGATTTGATCTGCATTAACGCACCAGTGGGGCTCGACAGCCTTAGTCAAACGGGTTGGCGCGTATGGTTGGGTTGTGGAGAGATTGTGAGATTGTGGTTAGGTCTCAGCAGCAGGAGGGATGTAGAGGTCAGTAAGCTGGGCTGAGTTGAGTGGGGGATGGAGGGGGGTGACTCTGGGACGCCAGAGTCACTGTCGAGCCCTCTTGAGGTGTCGTGGGCTAGTCGACGAAACACTGAGGACGGAAGGTGCCCACTTGAAGACCCTAGAGATGTCCCCTGCTCGGCTCAATCCAGACGGTTGTCGTGCTGGTCCACTAGGGAGACCACACTGTAGTTGCAGCCGTCGTGTGTGCTGACGCGCCAAGTACACTGCAGCCGTTAACGCCGGACAGAAGGGGAGTCACACCACCATATGGAAAGAAGCGTAAATGGATGAAGCATAGTTTACTGTAAAGCTACGTCTTAGTGTTGCTTATCTTGGCGAAAGCCGAGTACAAATCAGCATGAAGTTTTAACATCTACTCTCGTGTAATGGAAATCGTAGGGGAGTTGGTAGAGTGTGGGTAGTGAGTTGTAGATTGAAAGTAATGAGGAAATGGTCTGAAACGTGGAGAGGTTTCACCAAAATGTTGTCCGTGATGCAGTTGCGTGTGTAAACCAGGTCCAGTTGGTTGCCTGACTTGTGAGTACCTGTGGTGGTGATGAGCCGTTTGAGATCGAAAGAGGCTAGGAGAGAGATTAAGTCTGTTGCATACGGCTTCTCTAGATGAATGTTGAAATCGCCAAAGACTACAAGTGGGATGCCATCCTCAGGGAAAGAGGACAGCAGCACATCCAACTCCTCTACAAAGCTTCCCAGTTGACCTGGCGGGCGATATATGACTACAATATGGATCTTAATGGGAGTTGTAAGTGTAATAGCATGATATTCAAATGACTTGTTATTGCATAGAGAGTGAGAGTTGAGTATTTCCAATTGTTAGAAATGAGAAGACCAGTACCCCCACCCCTCCCCGACTGGCGAGGGGAGTCTTCTGGACGGATCCAGGACGGTCTCAGTCAAGCCCAAGATATTAAGAGTAGAATGAGATGCAAAGGCTGGAAGGAAGTCAGCTTTATTGACCGCTGATTGACAATTCCATAGACCCATAGAAAGAGTGAGAAGTGAGTGTGAGGATGAGAGAAAATGGCGCAGATTAGTGCGTTGCCTTCTGTGCGTGGTGAGAGAGCGTGGTCGAGAGACAACAGGAATGTATTGAAAGCACATGTTGATTAAGGGAAATAAGATAAAGGTAGGAAAGGAAAGGGTGAAGAAGATACTTAAGTGCCTTACAGGTGTCCTTGCTCGGTGGAGTCGCGCAGGTACAAATAAAGGTGAATTATTGTATTACCTTAATTCTCACTTGCCCTTTGAACAAGATTCTGTCTCATCATCTGGATAAATCAGTATGTTTCTATATAAAGTGAACATTTACAATTTATTCCACAGATTTGACTCTAGATTTGCTGTCATTCTCAGTCATTTCAAGGTTTCATGGTTGAAGAATCGGCTCTAAATCTGCTGAGAATATTGAAATCTAAACAAATCCACAGAAGCTCAAAGTAAAGACAGACATATGTTTATGTTTTACCGTTTTTGATGCTTAAATAGGTAACAGATAATTAAAGTCAAGCGTTTTGTTTAATTAATAATGGCACATTACAACAATAAGTGT